TTTTAATAATAACTTATAAAGATTGAGTAAAAGCTAGAGTATAGTGATTCCCGCCTCCCCCCCCCCCTCCATATTTTGATGAGCAAGTTTTAATGCTTCGTCCAAAATTGTATCATTTTGTAAGAGCTCATTTGGCTGGAAATTAATTTTAAATATTTTGTTTAAAAAAATCATTTGTATCTATTTAATTAATTAGATATTTTAAAAGCCAATATCCCTTGTTTGTGGGGCCCTTAAAAATGTCAAAATCGTCAACGAATGATTCTGTTGAGTTAACGATGGAAGTTAAAATTGCAAGTTTACAATGTGTGATCGCCTTAACAGTCAAATAAGTTTGGGATTATATCTCTTATCATTTGATTCACTTATCATGAAAGCTGGGTTCCAACATCAAACTCTCCCGGAAATAACAAGAACGAAATTTTTGCGACTCTAACTGAAACCAAAGCTCTCTATTTATGTTTATTTCAAAATTGACCACGTTTTTAAAAGATTAAATATTGACGTCTACGGGAATGTGCGATAGACTAACCTCCTCGTGGTGCACCCTGGGCAACGTATACTCATACGGCAAACAAACGTGGTGCACCCTGGGCAACGCATACTCATACGGCAAAATGTGGTGCACCCTGGGCAACGTATACTCATAAGGCAAAAAGATCCCTATTAACCGGCAGTTGACTTCTGACTTCAAACTACCATACTATTAACTGGCAGTTGACTTCTCACTTCAAACTACCATCTATTAACCGGCAGTTGACTTCTGACTTCAAACTACCATGAGTACACCCTGGGCAACGTATACTCATGCGACAAAAAAGTCTAAACTGGTGCACCCTGGGCAACGTATACACGTGGTGCACCCTGGGCAACGTATCCACATATGGCAAAAGGTACCTCCACGTGGTGCACCCTGGCCAACGTATAATCATACGGTCTTACCTCCACGTGGCGCACCCTGGGCAATGTATACTACACCTTACCTCCACGTGGTGCACCCTGGGCAACGTATTCTCATTCGGCTACCTCCACGTGGTGCACCCTGGGCAATGTATACTCATACACCTCCACGTGGTGCACCCTGGGCAACGTATACTCACGATAGACTTACCTCCAGGTGGTGCACCCTGGACAACGTATACTCAAACGGCACGTGGTGCACCCTGGGCAACGTATACTCATACGGCTCCACGTGGTGCACCCTGGGCAACGTTTACTCATACGGCTCCACGTGGTGCACCCTGGGCAACGTATACTCATAAGGCACCACGTGGTGCACCCTGGGCAACGTGTACTCATACGGCAAGTAAGTCTATCACGTGGTGCACCCTGGGCAACGTATACTCATACGGCAAACAAACTGGTGCACCCTGGGCAACGTATACACGGCAAAAGAGTCCGTGGTGCACCCTGGGCAACGTACACTCACACCTTACCTCCACGTGGTGCACCCTGGGCAACGTATTCTCATTCGGCTACCTCCACGTGGTGCACCCTGGGCAATGTATACTCATACACCTCCACGTGGTGCACCCTGGGCAACGTATACTCACGATAGACTTACCTCCAGGTGGTGCACCCTGGACAACGTATACTCAAACGGCACCTCCACGTGGTGCACCCTGGGCAACGTATGCTCACTTCAAACTACTAAATCTATTAACTGGCAGTTGACTTCTGACTTCAAACTATGCAAAATTACATTTACCGACAGTTGACTTCTGACTTCAAACTGCCACTTTATTATTCGGCAGTTGACTTCTGACTTCAAACTACCAAAAGTCTATTAACTGGCAGTTGACTTCTCACTTCAAACTGCCATCACCCAACTTCAAACTGCCCACGTGGTGCACCCTGGGCAACGTATATTCATACGGCAAAAACGTGGTGCACCCTGGGCAACGCATACTCATACGGCAAAATAAGTCTAATGATCGGTGACTTCAAACTACTATGGCACGACTATTTGTCATATTCGGCCCCATCCACAGATTATACGGCAAAAAAGTCTATTGATCGCCAGTTGACTTCTCGAATTCAAACTACTATGGCCCGACTATTTGTCATATTCGACCCCTTCACAGTACTCATCTTACTACTATTCTATTAACTGGCAGTTGACTTCTGACTTCAAACTACCATTACCTCACTGCATGTCATATTCGACCACTTCCAAAGTAATCATCTTACCTTTTTCTCTACCTTTGTGTCTATCTGCCTCTTTTACATCTGTGAATCGCTCTTCTGTTCCCCTCCCCTCGACTTTCTTCAACTTTGATGAACCTTCCCTCTGTGAAACCCGAAGAGAGCTAAATGGCTAATGACAGCTATCAAAACGCCTGCCATTTGAAATAAATAAATATTGAAGTCTCCGTAAATTATGAAATTTGATGTAAAGGCCATCTTTGAGGGAATCTGTTTAAAAGATTTGTCTCTCATATCAATCACAGAGCCGTGGCAACCTCAACCACCCTTATGGCAACCTTCAAGAGACGGGAAGAATTGAAGTTGACGGCTAATAAGTGGTTTCTCACAAAACTTGTGCCTCGGAAGAAATGATTAAGATGAAATTTGCTCTATAGCACGAGGATTCTCTGAGTGAAATTAAAACAAACCTTGGATTAAATAGGTTTCATACGACGAAGTTAACAATAATCTTGTTTTTTTTGTGTTGACATTTGGAAAGCAAATAAATAAATAAAATAATAGCATTATTTATTCTCAACGCAAATATGCCAGGTTTAAAAAAATATCAAAATTTCTTTAAATTTTAAGTATAAACGCGAACTCGTTAACAAATTTTTAAATTTTGAAAGATTTAAAACGAAAAAATGTATGCTATTAAGCTTTAGAGAGCCGATTGATCTGAAATTCTCCCAAGGAGTTAAACAAGTAAAAAAAAATGTTAATTAAATGTGTGTACTATTTTGGCTGGTCACACACCTAGCAATATTTCTTTTTAATGAAAGATCATCTGATTGATGGAAAATCAATATCTGCTGCATATTTTTTATCATTTGGTCTTCAAAATTAAGTTGGAAATAAGTGTTCACACAATATTTTAAGAACTAAAGTTTTAACCCTAAAAAAGTGATCTAACCATTGAGGAGACTATGATGTAATTTTAATTTCAAGAAAATAAACATCCTAAAATCACTTATCTTATTTGTTCGAATCTTTTCTATGAAAAAGAGTGGGGTGTGCGGTAGACTTACATCCACGTGGTGCACCCTGGGCAACGTATATTCATACGACAAAAAAGTCTATTAATCGGCAGTTGACTTCACACTTCAAACTACCACGACCCCCCTGGTTGTCATATTCGACCCCTTTCACAGTACTCACCTCACCTTTTTTCTATCTTTGTGTCTGTCTCTTTTACATCTGCGAATCACTCTTCTGTTCTCCCTCTCGAATTTTTTCACGTTGAAATTCCATCCATTCTATGAAGCCCAAAGTCAACTAAAGGGCTAATAATAACCATCAAAACGTCTGCCATTTGATAATAAATAAATAAAATCTATGAAAAAGACATTTGTTCAAGTGAAAAATTTGCCTCAGTATTATGTGTTTTAATGCATCTATGATTTAGCTAAACAAAAATAATAAACTTAAAATTTTGTAAATGTTAAGTTCCTCTCATTTCAATTTGACTAACCGATTAATTAACTTTAACCCTGGCAAACGCAATTTATACAGGTGAGGTAGCTGGAATCATCCTAACAACGCTCTAGAATGATTGACAAGTTGCTATAAGGTGGTTGTGACTTAACAAATTTAATTATTCAAACTGTTTGAACTCAATTTTTCGAGCCTTATAAATAGAGATTTGAAATTTAAAAATCTAATTTATTTAAATCTAAATTAATCCCATTAGGAATACTTTGTGTATAACTAATTTTATCCCCTAATAGTCATTCTAAATTAGTTAACATTTAGAAATTGATCAATGACTCATTAAAGCAGGCGAGATGTCACTGAATCCTCATTGGCTGCCGTCAGACTGTAATTGATTTATGAATTCACTTTAAGCATTATCCGTTAAGGTAATGATTGACTTTGAGAACTTGAGACAATGTTCGCAGTGTTCCCGTGGAATTTAACCTGCTTGTAATGACACGGAATTTGGATAAAAGAAAGTAATGCATTTCGTGAGATCCTTCAAATTGACATTTAAATATAAATATGAGGCTTAAAAATTCAATTACCTGTGGCGTTCTCAAAGAATTAAACATCAAAATTTTCAGGAACGCTTTGTTGATTTAATTTTTTGTCATCCTAATAGTTTGCATAATTTTCAAAAGACCAAATATTAAACTAATCGGAAAAAAGTTCTTTTGTTCCAAGAATTCAAATGTTTTTAAATTAGGAAATTTAGGTTTAAATAAGCAAAGGTTGGTTGCAATAAATTCCTTTTTAGGAACACATGCGTATGATTAGGATAATTCACCCAGAATGAACTCTGTTGAACTCATCTACAAAACACTACAAAGGACCTTCGACCGTCATGGAACAACTGCGCCCTGGAATCAGCGGGCGTTATCTCTCATGAGCAATTACATGGACCGATTCTTCCAAAAAAGGGAAAAAGAAGTCCCTTAACGAAATATTTTGCTGTTTTTGCGTGTTCTTGTATTATCTTGTGGTTAAAGTTTTTTATTTTCTTTAGATGCTGCCTTGAATAACACCAGCTGAACATGAAACCACGATGATATGAGACTCCCAAGTGAAGTCCTTTTTTCAAGTATCTTAATTATTTAAATTCTTCTGTGCTATATAGAGTATTTACTTGCAGTAAATATGTTATTTTGATTTCATCTCATGTTTGGAAACAAAATTTATCAAATTCCTGAGATTTCCCACGATGCCAACTGCCTTGCAATCATTCACTTATTCAAACCCACACGCACACACACACAGGAAAGTTCTGGAATTCAAGTGGCTTCAAGGCAGATATGGGAATAACTTCTCCAGCACTCATCTTGAAATAAAGCACATCATCATGATGTTCCACCTTGGATAAGCTCAAACTCCTCCAGACCGCTGGGCGTAAACAGACGGACGTCGTAAGTGTGTTTGCGTCTGTCCTCATGATTGTGGAACTGTGATCGAGAGTTTCACCAGGTTGGAAATTTACTGCGTCTTCGACTCTTGAAAACTGGCATGCTAATATATATTATCAAGAATATTCCATAGGATGGAAGATTTTGAAATTTTTTCCATCAATCGAGGTTTTAAAGATATGGGGGTCGCCAATTACAATTTGATCTCAATGGAAATTTCACGCCTTAAAATTGAATGCCCTAATTCTCATAAATTGCTCGTTTCCCACAAACCTATTAGAATGCAAATCGGTTTTTATTGTCATTTTTATGAACCGTGTCAATTAATTTTTTTTCATAATTTTATATTTTGAAGGGAAAGTTGGCATCACGGTTTACCCGTGCTTCTTCCAGACTTACAAGCCGATAATCAGCAAGATTCAAGGTCATAGTGTCTACGAATTGTCATGGGTGGTCCTCGTGGAACACTTCGTCCTTCCACAACGCGACTGCACGCCGCTGCTGACAGACTGACAGTTCGTTTGAACAGTGGTGTCTGTTCTTTAAGCATTAATCATATGCTGGAGACTAGTATTTCTAAAGTTAATCTTTGCCAATCAACAATTGTTTCGGCTTTTTGAGTTCCTCACCATGTCTAAGTCTCCTTCCGACTTTCCATATCAACTTGATGCATATTGGGCATCCAAGCCACCGTAATATACTTCAGTTTTGAAACTTTTCCTCAACTTTCTCTCCCCAAAACGAGTGATTTTTCCACATGGTTTATTAGGAACATTCCACCATAGTGTCACTTCGTATTTCATGTTTTATTTCTTGCAAATGAAAAAATGAGATGCCACTCTAATCACCAACACTTCAGCGGTCATCTCCGAAAACTGCATACCTTAATTCGTCGTGGCAAACCAATTAGACAGCAAAATACGCTGACAAACACGAGATTGATTGGCAGTTTATGAAAATAGAGCATGCGACAATTACTAATATATCGTGGGAAAATATCCGCTCTGGAGGTTGGAATGGCAGGCGTACATCTTTTACCGCAAATTGTAGAAATGAATGTGTTAGTGCCATAAAAATTCAATCAGTCAGTTATTTAGACAGTGTTGCAAAATTGAAGGTAATTATATGCGTAGAAGAGGGGTGTGTGATCGACTTACCTCCACGTGGTGCTCCCTGGGTAATGTATACTCAAATGGCAAGAAGTTTACAAACTGGCAGTTTACTTCTGACTTCAATATATCATGACCCGACTGAATGTCATATTCCAGCACTTTCACAGTACTCATCTGACCTTTTTCTCGCTTCCCTCGTATCTGTCTCTTCTCCATCTGTGAATCAATATTCTGTTCCCCCTCTCCACTTTTGTGACCTTGATGACGCCCTCCCCTCTCTCTCTCTCTGTGAAGCCCGAAGTCAACTGAAGGTCTAACGGTAACTACCATAAAGCCTAACATTTGATATAAAGAAATATACGTAAAAACATGTCAATGTGGTAAATGGCTGACAGCTGTAAGATTAACAGTGTTGTGGCTGTGAATGGCCAAATCAAATAACATAATCCAAACAACAAAATGGATCAAATTCCGAAGAACTCACTTTTTCGGCTAGTTCGCCTTTCGCTAGACGTTCAACGCGAGCACCCATGCCGTTTGGACCGGGAGTAAGGAAGGCTCCAACGCCTGCACTAGTTTTAGGAAAGTCTATCATCTCTATCTCGGCGTAATCCTCATCCCATTGCTGAAATATTACCAAAAAAAGCAAAATTTGTTTGATGAGCACAATGAAAGGCATTTTAGTAGGGGAATTGCGAGAAAGTGCATTAAAACGCTTAAGTAAGACTGAAACCCCATGAACATCTTGGTAATGGCAAGAGATCTCCTCATATGTGCGTATGTGTTGTGTCCTATGACTCCGCAAACAGAATCTCTCTAAAACGCGTCTCAAGTACTCCCAAAGGGTCTGAGTCCTCCCTATTGAAATTAAGTAAGTACGGAATTCAGCGCTCGTGACAATCTCAACAATCGTTAACTCTTTAGAGAAGAGGCAGTAAAGAAAGAATGAGGCTGATCACCCACCCCCCCCCCCCCCCCAACTTCACAATTTCTGAAAGTTATTATTTCAAATGGCAGGCGTTTTGACAGTTATCAACAGCCCTTTAGTTGAATTCAGGCTTCACAGAGGGGAAGGAACATCAAGGTAACAGAAAGTCGAAGGGTGCGGAACAGACGGATGATTCACAGATGTAAAAGAGGCAGACAGACACAAAGGCAGAGAAAAGGTAAGATAAGTACTGTGGAGGTGGTGGAATATGATATACAGCGGGGTCATGGTAATTTGAAGTCAGAAGTCAACTGCCAGTTACTAGACTTTTTTTGCCTTATGAGTATGCGTTGCCCAGGATGTACCACGTGGAGGTAAGTCTATCGCACACGTTGAAAGTAAGCCCGTGGCTGTTCTACCTGAGTAATGGCCAAATTGAGCGGGTGAAAATGTAAGGTCTACGTAGTCAATAGCCAGTTTAAGACATGTATATCGTCATGGCTTCTGTGATGATACAAGATTTCCTCACTCACTCTCTCTCACACACACAAACACACACAAATAATCCTCTCTTTATGTCATGTTTCCCATTATTCATCATTCACTTCTCTCGTCCTTTTATGGCTTCCTAGATGGTGTTCACTGCCAAAGACCACCATTCCTACAGTCCAACGTAGCGATACCATCATCAAATGTCGAACTAAGTCTTTTTGAACCATCAGTTTTAAAAATTAATGAGAGAAAGTTCTAGAGAAGATTTTTTAAGAAATAGACGAAAAATTGCAAGTAAATACTGACGCATATGCTTGAAGTGGCGTTTATTCCATCACCATGCGTAAGACCTGCTGGACTTAGTTATATTTAAATAAGCGCGTTTGTTTGTTTAAGCTGCTTGTTGCCAACCGTAAGAGGACACTGACAAATCGATGGAGCACGATTAACCACCCAATTAAATCAAATAATCAATGATTATGACTATCATGGGCAATAATCCAAGAGGTAAAAGTGGCCAAGTTGTCAAATTTCAACCCTCTTGAGAATATTGATGAGCTAAGACTTCTAAGGCCTTGAAATTGCTGTCTACTGCTCGCTTCGCTCTTAATTAAATCACTTTTTCTTCACATTGTTTAAACACTGTCTGCTTTCTCGTGATTGGTTATTAGTAATAAATGCGGTAACTTCAGAATCGTTCAACTTTTTTAAATACATTATTCACATTCCTGCTTTCTACTCTAACCAATTTCCTTTCAACTAAAGTTATCAATCATAATTGAGAGGAGCTTCTAATATAGAATCTGTAAATAGTTATTAATAAATATCTTAAAAATTTTACAGATAAACCTTTTGAATATCATTTAGTGTTCGGCAAAAATCTCTAATAACTGGAAAAAGGAATTTCGAAAGAAAAACGACCCGTTTATATTGCTTTATTTGCTATTCTAAATCATACTTCACACGTACTTCATTCGTTCGTTTCATGTAGTAAAACAGTTAATAATTAATAAATAAAACCTATTATTTTCCTAACAGAATGCATTTGCAATTTTACTATTCGAATAAATAAAAAACTCCCGGAAAATATAATTGCACGTGGAATTACTATTCAAGTTAACAAGTTTCGATATGAAAACATTTGAATATGAAGCATTGGTCCATAACCAACCAATCACGAATCGTTTTCCTGCCTCTAACTCATTAATCTTCTTTATTTTTCTCTACATTAAAATATAATTAATCAGCAAAAAAATTTGTCAGTATCACTTCTTATTAGATTAGGGAATCTAAATTCAAGTATTTTAATTTCAATGAACATTGAGCGTTTCGCTTCCTTGGCCAAAAAAGTTCATTTCAGGCCGACAAGATATCAAGCAAAAACACTTGAGGAGCACTAACGATTTGTTGGTTAATCTGACGGCGTGACAATTGTCCCCGCCAATTTGAACTTTACTCACTAAAGCCTCACTTGAATTTTTTGCCAAAAAAATTGAAAGATTCAAAGTACAGTCTTTCAAACCCTCACTTATCGGAATTGAATTTAAGAGGATTAAAAAATAACTCAGTAAATTCCTGAATAAAATAGATCAGCTTATCATTTTTTAAATGGTCAAGAATAAAAAGTCGGACGGAATAACGCCCTCATAAATTGGAAGTAATTGAATTAATTTATTGTATAAATGATTTTAAAAATTATGTTAAGATCTGATTAATAGTACTCAAATTCTAATCTGTGAGTAGTATTAAGAGAGATAGAGAGAGAACTTGGGCATAATTAAGGATATCCAATAGTGTCATGTAAGATCGTCTTTATTCTTTCACTGAAAACTCCTTTAAGTCCTCACATTCAGGAAAAGAGGCTCGCGCGAGGTTATGGTGTTAGTTACAATTTTATCTCCAACCTCAGTGGTTCTTAAATGGTATTCTAGTTTTGTTAGAAAAACGGGGGCACGCTCTAGACAACGTATACTCGTAAGGCAAAAAAGTCACTAAACCGGCAGTCGATTTCAAACTACCATGGGCCGACTGATTGTCATATTCGAGTGCTTTCACAGTACTCAGCTTACCCTTTTCTCTGCCTTTGTGTCTGCCTCTATGATATCTGTGGATCACACTTCTCACCTCCCCCCCCACCCCTCATTCGACTTTTTGTGCTTGGCTGCTCCAACCCTCTGTGAAGTCCAAAGTCAGCTAAAGGGCTAAATTATAGCTAGCATAAAGCCTGTCATTGGGCATAAATGATAAATAAACTGAATACATTATTGTATACTTTGAATAGAGATCAACTTACATCCACAAATAAAAGTATGAAATGCTTAACCTCTTTAAAATAAATTAGGAAGATGTCATTACACTGTACCTGGTTTCTATGAGACGTTAAACGAGATTTCCTTGCTCCATGGCGAATCGAGGCGTACTCGGGTTCAGGCATCTGTGAAATTTTTTCTACGTCAAAATCTCGCCGAGCAATAGTGAAATGAAGTTCTGGTCTCTTATTGCCGTCCATTACCACTTCCGGCCACTTGTTGGTTATCCAGCATTCCAAAATGCTTGTCGCAATTTCATAGTACGTAGCCACCGCAATTGGAACTGATCTGAATTCATCATCCACTACTTCGACTTCCTGATTCAACTTATCTAGGGTCAGACCATCGAAAACTATTCCCTCAATGGCTATAATTTGATCTCCTCTCTTCAAACTTCTGCAATATCAGTGAAGTTTTAAGCAAAGTTCATTTTATTGAGATGGAAGTGTTTATTTAAATTCTCAACTTACCCTATTCCTGGATTTTCGTAATTAACTTTATCTATGTACAAACCATCACCCATTGTCAAATTTTGACCAAATCTGATACAAATGTCTTTCCAGTTAAGAGGCTTATAGGCAGAACTTCGAGTAGAACTGCTACTTCGCCGACGAGATGGACGATGACGCAGGTCCTTGAGAACTTCTGAACCAGGATCGGCTATTGTCACTTCGTGGATACTGGCATCGCAAGGAACTTCCACGTAATCAATCCGACTTTTGAACTCGTATTCCTTGCATTGAAGGGCCGTCAGAGTTTCTGGACCAAGTTCTCGACGCTTTATTCGCTTCTACGAAAGATTAAAGTCTATTAGGACAATAGGTAGAACAACCCATTTAACTACAAATAAATTTATAGCACAAA